AAAAAAAAACTTTTGATGCATTTAAAGCAGAAAGTATGTAGACACGGTAGTGTCCTTGGATCAGTAAAGATATCGTTACAAATAACACAAGTTAACTGTGCTTCCAAGTCGTCAGTAAAAGTTTTAAGTCCCGCCATGTTGGTAAGACAAACTAGACAGATCACAAGACAAACGATAGCTTTGTTCAACTCTTCCAAAAATATCAAATAATACTGATTGCCATGGAAATATTGACAGTTGAGGTCAAACGTACAGCACCGTGACTTAATACTCAGACACAAAAATATTTTATATAAAATCACAACAAGTCACAAGAAAAACTTGACCTATACCATTGTTTTTTTCTTTCTTTTTTAATAGTTTCATTGTTATTGAGTTTCTTCTAGTGTCTTTCCACATTCATATTGAACATATTCTCTTTATTTGCATAGTTTGGTTTACTTGGTTTTCATTTGGTTTCTTCGATTCTCTGATTTTATGGACTCTGTACACTCCAACTACGAAATAAAATGGTTCCCATTTGACGTCATGCATTTAATCTCGGTAAAACTGACAATGAAAATAATAACAAACAAAAAAACAATAAAAAGCAAAAAGAATTCTTAAAATTTAAGAAATGGACTAAAGAAGCTTTCTAGAAAGAGTCAAACGTGATTTCTGCAATGTTTTTCCCTTCAGAAGGTTATTTTCTAGAAACACGTTGTATTGAAGATCTTGCTCTGTACAAATGTATATTTTGTATTTTTGTAGAATGGTTCCACTTAAAGTCTTTTAAATCAGAAAATAAGAGTACTAGGCTGCATAATGAGTCAATTTCCATAATTTTACAGTCGGTAATTAATAAATTAGAAAACGAAACGTCGAGAGTCATTGAGCGGAATTTCAGTTGATTGTTGATTTGAAAGGAAAATATATTGTGTTACGCAGTCAAGTCACGTCTAGATGTTGGACATTTAAGTTTTGCAAAAGCGCTAGATAATTGCTGCTTAAGGATATTACAATTTAAACATTTACATTATAAATTAAAGAGAAAGAATGCTGCTTTTTCGTTTTAAGAATTTAAACTTTCAGGCAACACATAGTATTGCTTTCTTCTTCCAAAGGCAACGGTTGCATAGGTTGCCTGTGCGTCATTGTATAAACAGGCAGCCCAACATCAATGAAAGGACGTCAGTGTGATTGATGATTCAAACAGTTGACTCAAATTCTTTTATTTTATAACATCAAAATTTACTTGAAAATAACATTGAGCCACAAAAATTAGTCTAAATTATGATTTTCTATACGAAATATAATGATCTAGGATTTTGAGTGAAAATTGAAAATTCAAAGAAAAGAAATGATTCTAAACTACAGTAATTTTACCATCCATAATGAATATGATTCTCGAACTGTCAATGTGAGTGTAGGTTTTCACCTGGGATTTTAGTTGGTCCTTGTAAAATACGATAAAAAAAGTTCTTCTGCTACTTAGGATAACTGATTTAAGACATGTTCTCCATTCCCAGGATACTTCTCAGTTTCCGAACGGAAAATCAAACGCTCTGCATGTTACTGCTTACTTACTTACTTACTGTGTCGAGCTAGCTCGGCTAATACTCGACACAGTTCTCCTCCACTCATCCTTATTGCTCATCAGAGCGGGAAGTTCTTGAGGCAGGCAGCCGATATCGTTGGCTAGTTGTTCTGGATAGGTCATTCTTGGGCGGCCTTGTGATCTTCTGCCATGGGAGGGCGCCCAGAGGACCAAGTCTCCTGCCAGTTCTTGTTTGCTGCGCCAGCAGTGACCGGCAAAGCGTAGTCGGTGCCGTCTGATAGATTGGCTGAGGGGTGGAGTGTTACCATATAGCTCCTTGTTGGTAGGGTGATCACGCCAGGATCTGTTTAGCGCAGCGCGAAGCATACGGGTATATGCTCCGTCTAGCCTGTTCTCCAGACTGGTGGTAAGGGTCCAGGAGATCGAGCCATATGTGAGGACGGATCCAACTGTGGCTCTGAAGAAATTCCTTTTCAGATCGTCGGGTAGATTTGATTTCCAGATGTTATCCATTTGATTTAGTGCTCCCCACGCTTTGGCTAGTCTGATATCGACATCACGTTCGGTTGAGGCGATGAAGCTGCCTAAGTACTTGAAATCGTCCACCTGCTTGAGATTTTCGCCACTAAGACTGCTCAGGCCTTCTGACTTACTGCTTACGTGACTACAATTATTTAGTATTTGTTTCATGGGTACATCGATATGAAGGCAGTCAACAAATCTCATCTCCACACCTGCACTTGATGTTGGTCCAACCCTTCCAGCAAAAATACTCGGCCATCTGGTGTAACAGCAACTGTATCATAAGGACCATTCATTTGTCCAAGAACTGCACGTCTACTACCAAAGGAACTTATGAACTGACCGTCTTGACTCAAGACTTGCAAGTAGTGGCTATCACAGACAAGAAGCATTTCTTTACCAAACACAGCAAGTCCATGTACACGTTTAAACTGACCTTTTTTGTTGCCTTTCATTCCAATTGTGTACAGTAGACCACCATTCTCGTCAAAAACATAAACACTGTTCACTTCAGTGAACGATACAAAGTACTTATTGTTGTCATAAGCTAATGAGACAGGCTCCTCATCATCAGGAACATCCAGTTTAATGTCATGAAGGTGATCATAACTTTGTTTATCAAATAATTTTATAAATGTCTCTGTAGTATCTTCATTGTAACACAAACACGCGATGATTTGATTGGCTGTACACATTCTTCTCAATATCACTCCTTTAGGTAGTTGGATAACAGTTCTTTTGTAGGTACCATCGATGTCAAATACCTTGATACAGCCACAATCACCTGGATTATCAGTGATGACTATTTTATCCTCATTGAAGATGACTCCGCCTGGATTACTCAGCTGACCATCTCCTGATCCTCCACCACCAATGTCTCGCAAATACTCTCCATCAGCATTGAACAACATAATGCGGTATAAACCACTTTGAAAGTTATTTCTATTGACCACAGCAATATCGCCACTGTCATTTACAGCAAGTGCGATAGGACGGGACCACTCGTCTTTCACATAAATTCTCCTCAAGGGTCTAAACTCTGCTTTAGCATCAATTGTCTCAATGTTCTGTGGTGAGTTTTTTATTTCTTTTCCTCCAATACTCACTACAACTTTGTACGGTGAAGGTTTCTCTGCTTTGTACTTTACTAGAAATCTTCCAGTTTCAGTTTCACTCAGTTCTTTATGGACATCGTTGCCTTCGACATCTTGGATGTGTACATTGATTATTCCTGTACTGGTGTGACATGCATCTCCTGCTGAATTTCTCGTCACAATAACAAATTCATTGATAAAACCACATCTGACGTCACTTAGAGATTCCATAGAACAGCGAGAGGGATCTGTCACGCTTTCCACTACCTCGCCGAGTTTGAATTTTTGCATCAAGGAAATGACTTCTGGGTTTGGAATAAAACGAATGCTTGAGTTTCGCTTGACAGGTTTGGTCGATAAGATGGACTTGTTTTGGGCTGTGGTTTTACAAACTTCTAGTAAATTTTCATAGCTTTCTAATATGAATTTCTCTAAGTTTTTGTCTTCCGTTGTTTCACACTGATGTTTCAGTTCAGTGACTTGTTGAATGTTGCCGTCGATATCTTTTTTCTCGTCTTCATTTACTGTTGTTTGTTCTGCAAGGAGGCCGTCCAAGGTAGCAATCAAAGCGTTTTGACGGTCTTGTAGAATCTTCATCAGAGCTTGTGTATCATTTCGTACTTTTGCCTTTGCTGCATCAACCTCGCTTTGAATCCTTGTCATATTTTCATTGGACAGTTCTAAATCTTTCTTGTAACCGATAAGCAGCTCATTCAGTCGATCCTTTTCGTTTCTGATAAGCTTTTTAGCATCTTCAGCTGCCTGCTCGATGCTGACCTTGTCATGGATGCTGTGTGCTGTTGCAGAACATTTATTGCAAATGCACTTTCTGCAAGTGATGCAGTAGTAATCGAGACGGCATTTCTGGTGAAATTTCTCCTTACAAATGGATTGATTGTTAATGTAACTGTTGACATTTTGTGTCTTGAATTCGCTCCACAGCGTTGCTTGATGGGTTTTTATTGATGACTTTGTTTTGTGTTGGTTGATGCATTCATTACAAATCATTCCTTCACATTGAGGACAAAATCCAACCAATACGCTTCGTTTGTTGCAACCTACACACTCTGGAAGCTGCTGTTGGCTCTGTTCGTCAGTCTTGGTCTTCATGACGTTGAATAGCTGAAGCAGCGATTTGTATGTAAAGGAAGAAGGAAGCTTCGAGATGTCGTCTCCTTCGATCTTGACTACTGCTCGACAAGTTGGACACCTTAGTCTCTTCATTTCTCTCTGACAAGCTTCGTTCCAATCTTTGATGCATTTAAAGCAGAAAGTATGTAAACATGGTAGTGTTCTTGGATCAGTAAAGATATCGTTACAAATAGCACAAGTTAACTGTGCCTCCAAATTGTCTCTGAAGCTAGAAGATGTTGCCATTCTAGTTGTTAAGGGAGTTGTTCCTGTGTGTACGTTATTTCGAGAAATATAATGGTTGATTAGTTGTCACCACAGAAACCATGCCAGCATCAAAGCAATGAATATTTCAAACATCAAAATTGTTGAACTGAAGCAGTTTAAGTAATCAAATATTCATGTCTCCAGTGGAATTGTTTAGAGTCAGCATGACGTTGCAGTATGATTTTATAAACTCGAATATTACAAGACAAATTATATGAATAAATTTTTATAATGCATAACCAGTGCGTAGGAAACTTTTGTTTTTATTTTTTGATATTGATAAACAGAATGTTTTCCCCCATTTTTATAAATTCATGCATACTTTCTACACCGAATAATTTCTCTTTTGTACCAGAGCTCGTCATACTTATTTTAAAAGTTTGCTTGCAGTGCATTAAACAAATCGTTCTTGTTACATGTCTAGGGCATCGGTATCACCTTTGGGGCGGCGTGGTCAAGGGGGAAGGGGTGGGGATAATTTTAGCTCATCATAATGATTTTTCTTACGGTAAAATTAACTTCAATTTTCTTCAAATCGAGAGTGTTTGTTCTCATTATTTGTGTACATTCGATTGAAAAAACGGTTAGTACTTCATGTAAGAACCCATAGGATGACACTAATACACAACGGCTTGGTTTGGATTAGGGCTATGCTTGGTTTAGTGAGGTTCTATAGGATCTTACATGAAGTACCAACGGAAAAAAAAACATTATTGGGCTACACCATCGAAGAACTCAAAGGGGACCTTTGGAGGCAAATAATGTTCATGTAAAAGTTTTAAGATATTTTACGTTTTAAATTCGTCCGAAACTGTTGGAGTCTCCTTCGATCTGAACTTCGTTGTATACTCAGGAATCATTGAAATTATTGAAGTCTCTTTTCAAAAATACTAACCTGACTTTATCCATCTTGAATTAGGTTGAGCGTTTGACATGGGAGGAGGAAGACGAGAAGCTCTTTGGGCGTGGTTCCCGTCAGAGGAAGGAGGTCGACTACAGCGAACACTTGACTGAAAAGCAGTGGTTGAAAGCCATCGAAGAAGGTTCCCTAGACGAGATAGAAGAACGACAAAAAACAAGGAAAATGAACAAGAAAAGGAAACGAGAANACAATGTAAGAACCGTTGGTTAGGGGGTGGAGGTGGTGTTTGGTCTCCGCCTGCATCCATTAGTCTTAAATCGGACGCTTAAGTAGGGAGAGAAATGAGGAGAGAGAATTTTAGGATGGGAGAATTAATAGAAAAAATTACAAGGCGCTTTAATAAAAGTTGGGTCAGTTTCCTCAAAGCTTAGCCAAGTCTTTGCCTCAAAGCAAGTCAAGTAATTGAAAGGCTATCCGAAATGTGAAAAAACCGAGGCTACAGTACAAGCACGCRACTCCCTACCGAGCTCATTCGCWCKMCAAGTTTWAAGAGAAAGTTGTATTGATTTTTTGTGGTGTTTTGTTTTTAGGAACGAATCAATTCCTATCGTTATCGAAGCCTTGARGATCTCGAGGAAGATTTCATTCTGATGTGTAGAAATGCACAAACGTACAACATGGAAGGATCAATCGTAAGAAAATATCTTCAATGACTGTTTTTAACCTTACCTTGCCACGGTATAAGATAACTGGTGTATTAGACATAAACTTACGGGCTGTCGATAGCATGACTCAACACTATTACTCTTTCGATTTATTGTTTACTCAACCATTTATTCATTCATTTCTAATTTTGTTTTCATTTTTTATTCATTCATTCGACTCTTCATTAGCTCTTCCATTCATTCATTGATTCATTTGTTCACTTAGTCTTCCATCCATCCACTTTTTCACTTACTTATATTTCCCATTCATATTCCTTTTCTATTTTTTAGATCTATGAAGACTCCATCAAGCTACAAGTGCGTACATTATTTTCAATTTTATACTTAAGTAAAAGCAATTTCTAAAGTACTTTCTGGTTCTGTTGTAGTCTCTGTTTGTTCACGCTCTCAGTAAGGTAAA